AAATATTATCTATCAATGTTGCAGAATTATTATAAACCCAAGTAGGCTTATCAATGGAGGGAATGAGGTAACAACTTTGCAAAGATAAAAAGAAATCTCAGCTATAACAAGAGCTTTCAATTTTTAATAAATCCAGATTAAAATCTCCCATAATACATAACAATTTTCCAGTCGCTGTAAACTTTTCAATAACCTCATCAAAATATTCTTTAAATTTATGCGGAGAATTATGCTGTCTATAGATTACTCCAACAATAATATTTTTCTTTTGAACAAAAGATATTTCTATCCATAATGCTTGAAACGCTTCATTAGAACTTTTTTCTATTACTTCATAACTTAATGACCTTCATAACTTAATGATCAATATACATTCCAACTCCACCAGAACTCAAAGGAGTTGGTACAAATTCGAAGTCATACCCTGGAATTTGTGGGCAATTAACATAGTTATTAGATCTGATCTTTGTTTCGGTAAGACCTATAATATTGAAGTGATAATCAAGCTCATCAAATAAATGACTTTGTAAATTTTCAAAATTTAAATTTAAGCTTCTAATATTGTTATGGAAAATAGATAAATTTTCTTGCTGACTAGATAATGTGTCTTTGTTTTTCATTAATTTAAAACTATGAGGAGAATAATAATGGCTTTGTAATTGCTGAAATGACATATAATTATTTAGGTCTAAATTATTATCATGCATGGCATTAAAATTAAACAAATTTAAATCATGGAAGCCTGACAATTTCTCAAAGTCTCTCCTAGATTTCAACTCAGAGAAACCTTTGAAGATTGAGGTCAATAAGATCTGTTATTTAATGGGTGATTTTAACATTGATCTTTTCAAATCAGAGTCTTGTGATTACGCTGGTCAATTTGCCGAACAATTATTCACATCGACACTGCAACGCTAATTGATAATATTTTCACAAATAATTTAGAAAAACTTAATGATAGTGTAAATGGTGTTGTTTTTAGCGATATTTCAGACCATTTACCTATTGTACATATTTTTAATTCAATTATATTGGATAAAAACAGAAACACAAATGAGACTACAGTAACCTATCAAAGAGAATATAATAAAGCTAACATAGAGTCGTTCAAAGACGCAGTTAAAAATATTTCCTGGAATGAAGTATTAAACGAATCTAATGACCCTGAAAAGGCTTATAATGAGTTTTTGAAATTATTTATGGGTGTATATGAGGCAAATTTTCCACTTAAAAGAAAAGAAAAGAAAACAAAACAAAAATAAATAAAATAAAGAGTCCATGGATGACTAGATGTATATTAAAGTCAGTTAAAAATAAAAATAAATTATACAAAACCCTTCTTAAAAATCCAAATAATAAAAATAGGCAAAAATACACAAAATATAAAAATAAACTAAACCATATCATAAAAATTGCAAAGAAAATTTATTATGAAGAACAGTTAATTAAATACAAGAAAAATTCAAAAATGATGTGGAAAACGCTAAATGAACTACTAAATAAACCATCTAAAAATATAAAAGTATCAAAAACGTTTGTAGAAAGTTGTTCATCAAATATAATTGAAGACCCGAATGAAATAGCTAGCAAATTCAATGACTACTTTATTAACATAGGTCCTACTCTAGCAAACAAAATCAAACACAATGAAAATGAGAGTTTTGAAAAATATCTTTCTGGCAGTTATCAGTCAAACTTTTTTCTAAATGCGATTACGGAATATGAACTTGAATTAGAACTTGAAAATATGAAGTTGAACAAAAGTTCTGGATATGATGGTATTAATGCTAACATCACAAAAATAACTGCTAAGGAAATTTCTAAGCCATTAACACATATTTTTAACTTATCGTTTTCATCAGGAATTATTCCAGATAATTTAAAAATCGCATTAGTTACGCCAATTTTTAAAGGCAATGAAGAAAATAGATTTGAAAATTACCGACCTATATCAGTCCTTACTTGTTTTTCTAAACTACTGGAAAAGCTTATGGTAAAGAGACTAATAAATTTTATTGATAAGAACAAGATATTATCAAAACATCAGTATGGTTTCAGACGCAACAGGTCAACAGAACTTGCTGTACTTGATTTTGTTGATAAAATAACTAAAGCAATAGAAGAAGGGAAGTTCACTGTTGGTATTTTCCTTGATTTGTCAAAAGCGTTTGACACAATTAATCACAAGATTCTGATAAGAAAATTGGAACATTATGGTATACGAGGAACAGCAAAAAAATGGTTTGAAAATTATCTATATAATAGAAAGCAATATGTAAAATATAACGGAGTACAATCTGAAGAAATGACTATCACAAGCGGTGTGCCACAAGGATCAGTTTTAGGTCCTGTATTATTTCTCTTATACATAAATGATATTCAATATTGCAGTAAATTGGTTTCAATTATATTATTTGCCGATGACACTAACATACTGTATAGCGATGTTTGTCTCAAAACTTTAAACGAAACTATTCAAGTTGAAATGAACAAAATTACAGATTGGTTGAATGTTAATAAATTATCTATAAACACTGCGAAAACCAAGCTGATCCTTTTCAGATCAAAAAATAAGAAACCTAAATGTGATTTAAGAATTTCTATAAATAGCGAAACTATAAAACAAGTAAAAAAAACTACGTTTTTAGGGATTGTTATAGATGAATTTTTATCATGGTGCGATCATATAGATCTTATTTCAAAAAAAATTATCAAATGTACAGCTATTATATCCAGAATACGACATTTTACAAACCTAAATTCCTTAAAACTGATCTATTACGCATTGGTCTATCCATATCTTATATACTGTAATTTAGTTTGGGGTAACGCTTACAAATCCCACATTCAAAAATTAGTAAATATCCAGAAAAAGATAGTAAGATTAATGACCTTCAAATCCTATTTTGACCATACTGAACCAATTTTTAATGACCTTAAAATACTAAACTTGTATAAATTGAATGACTTCTTAACAAGTCTATTTATGTTCCGATATTTTCATCTACAAAATCTTCCAGAAATTTTTGATAAATATTTTTTAACTAACAAAGAAATCCATAATTACAACACAAGAAACGCATCATTGCTCCACAAAAGTTGTACTAGAACAAATTATAAAAAACACACGCTCGGTAATAACGGCATCGATGTGTGGAATAATCTTCCGACGCAATATAAGCAAATTAGATCTCTTCCAATATTTAAATCTACAATGAAAATATATTTTCTTCTGTCAAATTTAAATAAGTAGAATTCTTGGCACAAAGTGAAAAGCCAAATAATTGTTATAGTCTGATATATCTTTTACGCACTTTCCTTATTGTAAATATATCACCGTAATTCCTTTGAAAACATTGGACTGGTATTAACTTTTAATATTATATTATTTGAATTGTAACTAGGGACCTTAAACAAAAGCCTTATGGTTTCTAGAAGGTTCCTAGCCCTACTATTGTAAATATTTTCTATTTAAATTGTTAATTTTATAAACTGATTTGGGCGAATATATTAAATAAAAAAAAAATTAAATAAAAAAAAAATCTCCTTTAAAATTATAGAAGGGTAGTTCTTTACACAACTCTCTGTTCATTGAAGCATGACTTTGGTTATGCTTAGCTAACATTTCGTTTCTGCTTTACTAAAACTAATTCTCAAGAAATACAACACACACACATACAATTTATATTATAATGTTCACTCTTTCTCGACATGTGACATTTTTCACGGCAAGCAATATTTTGATTCAACTGTTTTATAACGTAAATATTTCAGTGCGTATTCACCCCCCTTAAAAACAAAGAACACCATTGGAATCTTAACAAAATAAGCTTTTCATCGGGGGGTCTAATGCCGTCAAAACAAATACACAAACCGAAACAATCGTATATTTACTCACCGCTTGGCCAAACATTCTGTATTTTCATATGGAGAAAATGTTGAATATTTTCTAAACTCTTCAGTATTCGCCACAAGTTAATGTTAGTGAAATATTCCTTGTATTCAAGCGCTTTTATGTAGAAAGTTTCGTTTGAATACGGCGAGTAGAAATGTTTATTTTGTTTTTTTCAAAATATCGGGTTTCATCGGGTTTTTACTCGCACGCGCGTGCTGCATGTAAAATTGGCCAATAAGGGGTCTCCCGTAGCCCAGTGCACGTGAAAAGCACGCTTCAGATGTAATTTGACCTTTAGAATCGATTTCCGATGTTTTCCGAACGCTAGGATGTAAACACGCGATGTTTTGGCAGATCTAAAATGTATTTCCGGTTAAAAATATCCCGCTGATTTCATTAGTTTCGCAACAGATTGAAATACCGAAATAAAAGACGAAAAACTAAGGCTACAAGCTTGAAAATAACACTTTCAATAGTGTTTTTGATTCTGTTTCGAATAAGACTATAGCGAAAACGATATCTCAAAAGGGGCCGAAGTTATGTTCGGCAAAAGGTATTGATAGTTTACATTGTTCGAGACAATTGATTAATATAATGAAATATGACACCGCTTGACCTATCGAAAGGTCATAAATTGTTATACAATTTCACTAAAATTATATTTGACTAAAACTATCGACAGGTATTAGGAGATATTGTTTCACTGAATCGAATGGTGGTATTTTCATCTACATAGCATGCACCCAACTGACGATATGACCATGCAAAGTCGTAAATCATGAGTGATTTATTTAATAGGGACCTGTCGGGAAAGAGTTAACTTAGCTCAGTATGTGACTTGAAGTTCCATTTAGCGTTGAGTTGTCATTGCTCTCAGATCAACCAGATTTTTCAACTTATAGGCACGCAAGCTTTCAGATTCTCGAAGAAAGATAAAACCATTTTTCGCCCAACAGAATTTATATCCATTTGCTTCTTTAAATAACTTCGCTTCACACAAAAGAGTTTGCAGCCCAGGACTTAAGTGGTCATAAAGTTGTAGCCCTTGCAATGATAATTGTTCATGGAAGCCAACATCACTAGGAGAGATCTTAAATACATTCTTTCATGCAGCCATAACCTTTTCCTTTGAAATTCGTCTGGTAAATTTACAAATGATTGGATTAGGTTTGTTTGGGAAATTTCTTCTCGTTGGTACCCGGTGGGCAATATCAATATCATAGGGAGAAATATCTTTTACACCTAGAGCTGTAAATAGATGTATGCAAATCTCAACTGTTTCGTCAGCTTTTTCATACTCGCTGACTACAGGCATACCAACTATTTTCACATTGTAATTGAAGCTATAGTCTTCTATCGCCGCTATAACATTTGAAATTTCTGTATACTTCTTCGATACTTCTTTTATTTCAGCTTTTATCTGGTCAAGTTCCTTCAGGACTTGATCATACTGATTACTGAGGAATTCAACTGATTTCTTTTTCTCAGATGACAAAGGTTCTTCTTGCTCGCCTGATTGGCCATTAGCACTGCTCGCTTCTTTCGTCGACAAGACATTTTGACTTAAATTATCTACTTTTTTACCACCAATTTTTCAATTTGAATCTTCAAATCTTCATTCTCTTCCTTTAAACGTTTAATATCTGCATTTTTAGACATTGCTAATAGTAATATAAAGTTATATAAAGCAATAAAGCTGTGAGTTAAAAAAAGTACGTCCGTTCAGCTCGAACGACGATTCATTGAGAGCAATCGGTTTGTGTCGATAAATAATCAGATAGTTGAATATGGAACAGCAATCAAAGCCCGCCATTTTGATACCAAACATGTTGTTGGGCCATTGATTCAGTTTTTACAGGCTCTGGAACTTTGGTACCTTGATGGAAACTTTCTTTTGTCATAAAATGAACATTTTAACCCTCGGGCTATCTTTGGTCGAGTTTGCTAAAACTAATTAAAAAGCAAACAAGACGAATGGCGAGACATTCATTCAAAAGGCTGCTGTTTTAGTTTTCGACGATTAGGTCACTGTAGCGTGTAATACCACAGGTTTTGACACTCTACTGGTTGCCGCGATGCCACATTTTAATGTTGCAACCTGTGTGAAAGAACAAAGACGTCTGAGGGAGAAAGTTGTATTGGAGAACCATTAGAGATCAATTGGATCTTCCAATGAGAGATTTTCCTTTGTATTAATTGTCTGATTGTCAAGAAGTAGGCATGCCCCATCACCAATTGTGATGGCAATTGATGCAGTTTCTTGTGCATCTTCTTTTCAGCTTACGAAATGCAAGCTCTAATTCTGACAACCAACTTTGTGTGGACATGGCAGGTATGTAAGAGTTTGCAACTATCATAACTTCTGACATGCTTGCCGTATTCGGATTTGCAATATCTTCTATCATAAATTCAAAATCATCTTGCTTTAAAATATCTTAATGTCTATATCACCGAAGTATCAATTTTCATACTCAGCACCCACCATCTCTTTGAGATAAAGTATACTGTATCAATCTGATAGGATTAGAATTAAAATGCTTACGAAATTTTTTCTCTATTTCTTTAACATTTTTTGGTTTTCTCTTTTCATTCACAAGATATGCGGCTCTAAATAGCAATTTTTGTGAAAATGTCACGTATCAACAAGAGTCTGGGACAAGTGTGGTGTGAGATAGCAAATCTTTCTCAGCAGTATCCATTGTGCATACCACCATTCGATTCAGTGTAAAAATATATACTAATTTATAACGATAGTTTTAGTCAATGGCTACATTGCGATTTATGAGCTTTGAAAGTCAAGCGAGCTTGTATATGATCAAATTATGCAATATTATTATAAGTAATAGCATGGCATTCAGGGCAATTAGTGATTAAATGTACCCGAAAGCCGAGAGAGGTTTAGTAAAAGTCCTGAGGCACGTAGCGCCGAGGGACTTTTATTAAACCTCTCAAGGTTTAAGGGACATTTCATCACTAATCAACCGTAATGCCATGCTATTACTTTGTAATATCATAGTTGCCGAGGGAATCGCATGTGGTGTGTTGCCTGTTTTGAATGCTGTTTGATTGTCTTATGATTGTGGTATGAACACTTTTCATATATATGCATGCGCAGAAACACATCTCCGTGTTCATTCATTTTAGGCATGCGCATAAACGGAATTTTCTCGCACAATTGAAATGTTCAAGATTAGGGAATAAAAGCTGGCAAAGTGATTGTTCGAATGTGTATGGGATGGTGTCGTCAGATACTGTCAATAGTTGTGCCGATGATTTTCGATGAGGTACAGCTCTCCAATCAGATGTAATGAGGTACGCGTTTGTCTTCTAAATATCCCTCATCAAGCATGCAGGGGGAAATTAGAACTAATTTTACCACAGGCAAAATTAGTTCTAATTTTTTACTAATTTTTTCTAAATTAGAACTAATTTTACCACAGGCAAAATTAGTTCTAATTAGTTCTAATTTTGCCCGTGGTAAAAATTAGTTATAATTTTACTCCATGTTTTAGTGAGGTAAATTAGTGATTAATCGTACCTCGCGAGACAAAGGATTTTCAGGCAACTATGATATTACTAACCTAATATATACCTTTCACCAAACATAACTTCGGCTCCTTGAGATGTGTGCTCCTTCTGATACTCTTGATGAATTAAGCGGTTAAAAATAACATGTATAGTGTTATTTTCAAGCTTCTAACTTTATAGTGTGACTTTAAGTGCCGAATTTTACATTTCTGCTCCGAGTTTGCAATAATCCCAACTGGAAATACGACGAAAAATCGTCAAAACAATGCGACGTTTTGTATTGTGTGACTCTGGAAATGCCAGAAATGGATTCTATAGGTCAGAGTACACCTATATGTGTAAGTTTGACGTCATCCTGATATTTTGAAAAATTCAAAATAAATATTTCTACTTGCCGTATTCAAACGAAACTTTCTACATGAAAGCGCTTGAATACAAAGAGTATTTTACTCATATAACCTTTCAAAAACGACAAAAATTTAGAAGATATTCAACTTTTTCTCCATATGAAACACAGACTGTTTAGCCAAGCAGTGAGTATAAACATGTGATTTTCGCTTTATTGTTCTGACAACACTTGACCCCCGTTCGAAAGGTTATCTTGTAAGGATTTCAATAATGGCTTTTGTTTTAAAAGGGGGTAAATACTCACCGAGGGGTAAATACCATATTTACTTTAGAAAAATTGGATCATAATGTAATGCGAGGCATGTCGAGAAAGAGTTAAGGGACTTTATCAATATGCCCCCCCCCCCACTTATCGAGCTGGCTACACCACTGCTGGCTGATATATTTTTTATATATTTTTGAGTATAGAGCAATAAAAAGCCAGTGATTATAGAATTGATTCATAACTCGATTAACTGGTAATCGTAACCATTCTTCGATCAATTCGCTTCTCATGGAACAGGGGACGGTGCGTAGCACCTTCAGCAGTTTGTCACTACAAACATGTGTGTATGTTGTGTTCCACTTCATATTGTGAGATTGAGTGCCCATCAGTCGCTGCTGCCATTTTATTCTGCCTCAAATGCACCTTGGAAGATAATTAGGTTATTACAGTTGATAATCCATGATGTTAGATAGAAAATACCTTCAATATCGGTAGGCTGGGTGAAGCCTGTGTTGAGGCAAACCGTTTTCAATAGTTGAGCATGGTTAGGGCTGGCAATTTTGTCTGTGATTGTGTTTTGGATGGATGCTAATGAGTAAACTAGCACATATTCATTTGATTGCATTTGCCAATGGGGTGGGTTGCCGATGGAATTGCTAGTGTAAACCATTCTTTTATGTCAATACATATCCTATGATTGTATGTTGAATTTTAATAAGGGAGGGACCATTATTTTTTTGGAGGGGGGATGAACATTTCATCAACGCAAACAATTTTTTTGGTGTTGTTGTTGTTGCAAATAATTTTGTCAATCTGATTGCTGTGCAAGAACATGTTGTGTTGTCAGAAGTATAAATCTAATATGGAAACAGACATTTAGTAGTTTTGTTTTGGTATACTGGTCAGGGCCTTTTGGGGGGATTTTCCCCAAAATCCCATTATATTAAAGATAATACAAGTGATTTAGACAACAATCAACATGTAGTTCTGTGTGAAGTTGGACATTCCACCACTGATGACAATAGCAAAAGTGAAACCAATGAAAACCAGATCATCCCTCTAAATACAAGAGTTGGAAGACAGGCAATAACATATCAAACTTGTCATTTTTTTTGAGATTGATATAATTACCTATTTAATAGGAACAGGAAACAGCACACTCCATATCAATTTCCGTTTTGACTTTAATTCACTACATTTTTCGTATTTATACATCCTTAAGTTTGTGGTTTGCTTTTATAGCAAGTATTAACAAATCATTAGCATACTGTGCTTTATCACAGTTTTATCAGAAACAAATAAAAGATATCATTAATATTTTATAAATTATGAAGGGTTATCACCACTGGTGGCCAGACAGTTTGCCGAAAGACACTTTGCCGAAAGACATTTTGCAGACAGACGTTTTGCCGAACGGACAGTTTGCCGAAAATAGAGATATCTTCTGAACTTTATTAGGTTCACTTACATGGTCAAAATTTCCGTGATTAAAGTCATTGTCGATTTTGATGACAGAAACTTTGATATTCAGGTATAGTTTCGTTTTATATTCTTTCAAGTTTTTTTGACAAGTTTACCGAAATTTCGCAATATAAAGAATAACATCATTCAACATCATTGATGAATGCGTTTCCCTGAAAACTGTGAATGTAATCCCATGGTTTTCGAAGTGAAATTTGCTTACATCACTGTCTTTGTATACGCTTGTTTGTTTACGACCTGATGTCAAAACATGTTCCTAACAAATGCATGAGTCATCCACTCATCCACTGCACAAACAAGCTACCAATAGTCAATGTGGTTATGTACTAAATACAGCTATTTCAATTAAAGGTTGTCTGTGAGCAAAGCGGAAGTCGAATGTGAGTGCCAAAAGCTGCTGGGAATCGCTAACAAATTTTCAAAGCGATTCCCAGCAGCCTTTCGCGCCTGTATTTGACTTTTCCGCTTTGCTCGTGGACAACCTTACTTGAAATAGCTGTATGCGCACTGCTAATGACCATATAATGGTTATTTTATACAATGGTTGATAATTACAAAGTTGAGAAATGAGCCACAGTCCCAAACATTTTGACGAAATAGCATCTCCATTTTTGGCAAGTTGTCCTTTCGGCAAACTGTCCGTTTGGCAAACTGTCTGTTTGGCAAACTGTCCATTCAGCAAAATGTCTGTTCAGCAAAATGTCTTTTGGCATGTCTTTTAGCAAAATGTCCAGGGTACCATCACCACTAAAGTGTGTACTACTTGTTGGCTACATCATGTAGTACACAATATAGTGAAACGAAAAAGTGAAGAGAGAGTCTACTTTTTGTCTTGAAACAAATTTTCAACTCTATCATGGGTCATCAAAAAATGTTTTGAAAAATTTAAATCTTCCAGCCCCCCCCCCTGTACTTTATGACCGGTCAGATTCCTGCAGACCAAAATCGTTGGTTAGGCAGAATAACTGAGGTAGGGTGTGCATGTTATATGTACAGAAACATAGTTACATTAACATTAGTTAAATATAATTGTTTCTGTACATATCAAATTACTTAATCTTTACTGTATATATCGATGTAATGTAATTTTGCATCATTCCAAATGATGACCGAATCTTAGTCGAAAGTTAGAATATTAAAATGTTTATTTTTGGAGTTGCTGTTGTTTTATATTTTATTAAAATACTCAG